GATGCTCGCCGATTTCCACGTAGTTGTCTGTTTTGAGCGTGGCAAGACGCTACAGTATCATGCTCAGATCTGCTGAGACGGCTGACAATATACAGGTGCCCCACCAACTATGAGCCACCCCCATAACTTCTAAAGGGTTCACGATATCGAAATGCAATTTTCGCTCATCAATGCGGAATAATGGGGCAAGTAATAATAGAGATATTGTTTGGAATATTTTTTGTTTTTGAGACATTAAAACGTCTTTCATTTTTTAAATGGAATTAACATCGATGTATCATTTGTTAGTATTTTGGTAGAAATTGTATTATAAAAATAGTCTTTCTGCCATGTAATTTTAAATTAAACAGACAATATTTCCTGTAGCAGCCCTTCTGCTGTCGCTTTTGGGGAAAGTGGCCTTGGCGGCGCCGGTGCCTCCCGTAACAGCTTCGCCGAGGCTGTTAGGAGCCCGTAAAAGCCCTTTCACAATGCAAACATAAACATAAGCATGGCGTTAACATAAAAGTTAGGACTACGTCCATAAGCTGGCTCATTCACAATGCGTTCGCATGAGCATAACACGTAAGACGTTAACTTAAAAGCTTGCAAGCTTCAAGCTTCAGATCTTATACTTAAGTTAGACATAAGAAATGAACCAATCACAGAACGGTAACTATAAATCGAGAATCGAAATTGGAGGGAAGTCGCTAGAAGAACTAACGCCATATGGGCCATGGACACAGTCGATGCCTTGAAATCAATTCTCCCATTCAACCAATAGTAAACTATAATGTCTCACAGCCAAAGCAACACTTATTTTGCTTCCGTATATGCTAGACATTGTGAACACCTCAGTCTATCACTTATGTTAATGTTTATGTCTATGTCTATGCGCTATGCTTATGTTTACGATTGCATTGTGAATGGGCCTTAACTTGGCGAGGTGTTTAGAAGTTGCGAGCGGCGGCAACGCCACGCAGCGAGATACACCTTCCCCGACAACAACAGACTCATTCATAAACAGAAGCATAATGTGAATGCTATATCACGCTGCTATGATTTGTAATAGTACCTAACAATAATGGTCATAAACATAAACAAACGATATCAGACGCAAAATCGAAAGTTCAGAAACCACAAGCTTAGATGTTTCCAGTACGCTGTGATTCGAAAATATCACTTTTCTGTAATGTAGGCGCTTCTGAAAAACATGTATTCATTTTCCCACGACAACTGAAACAATGACTACTTATCATAATCTTTCTATGAAAGTAACTGTTATCTAATGTCCTTGCATTGTACTTAATTACTATTTATCATCATTCCTACACCGCTCTACATATCTTTCGCTAATTACATGATAATATTATTTTCATTCGATATAAAATAGCAGAAAACTCCAAACAGTTAGAGTTTTAGAATTATGTCAATAATAAGTGTTGTAATTTTTAAGTGTTGTAATTTTTGCAATTATTGTTACTTAACTGCCACCGGGTCATACCCAATTGCAGTTCTAATAAATGTATGTATGTATATCGATAGGTATCTACCGATATGTATCTACCACTTCCTAAGTAATGTTTCTTCTTCTTTACTTAGGTAATGTAATACATCTCGGCGTTTTTTCTCTTCCCTTCGCTCTATGGTTCTTTGCTCTTTTCCGCTTCCTGTCTGGTAATAGATCACACTGGAACCAGAATTTAGTTGTCATAAAAACAAGCTGTCCCGTGCGGTGAAATGTACATAATCTATATTAGAAGTAAATAGATCGGTTTTAGCACGTCAGCTCATTATAGTATTAATATTTTCTTTATTTGTAGATTTCTTCCGACTCACGTCGTCACATTACTTTAGTTTCTTTCTTCGCAGTAGTTAAAGAATTCTAAAAACATTAAACGACACATGCTATTCGATTATTCTCTGTTCGATTTTTCATAAATTTTAGAATTTAAAAGTTTACTTTGCCACCTAGGTGTTTGACTATCACAAGTTATAACACATTCTCGAACAAAACCAGTTTAAACGTAAATTCCTGATTACAACTTGTGTTATGTAGTTTTAAAAAATGAATGTTATTATTTTACAGATTGTACTATATACAAACTAAATTGAATTTAAATTTAAAGGGTCATTAAATTCTTACAGACCTGGTAGTTCTGTCAGCCTCTTCGGTTGAGTCCTCTGTTCTTGGTTTAATGAATGTTTCAAGATTTTACGACCTCTTTTAAGTTAGATTTTCCGCTCTCTTAGTCATTGATGACTCAGGCCTCTAATAAAGAAAAGATGCAGTTATGAAGAAAACTAAAATTAATTTGGTTATCTTTATCTGTTACTTCTGGGATAAGCTGAAAGTAAATATTCTAAAGAATTTGAACGAATAATTACCGAATCAGTTTAAGAGAAGATGGTGAAATACTCATCTTGAATTAGGTTTCTATTTCACAGAATGAATATTGTTGAGCCAATGAGAATGTTGCATGTGTTTGTTATTTGCGTTGTTCTCACCTCTTTTGCTTTTCTGTTGGCAGGGTAACGAAGTAGCCACCCTGCAGATGATGCAGCTGAAGCGACACCCGTCTCCGCCCGCGTCACCGGCCAGCACCGACTGCGGGCAACGCCCGCCGGCCCCGCCCCGGCACCCGCCCCGCGCCGCCGCCGCCATACCCGCCCCTACAGCGTCCTCCGAGAAGCGACCGGTGTTTGTGGTGTACCCCACGAAATCGGAGGCCGCGGGGGCCGGCGGCGGCGGCGGGGACGGCGGCGTGGTGGTGGGCACGCGGGGCCCGCACCTGCCCGTCCCGCCGTCCAACCTGCGCTTGGACGACAAGGACGACCTGCCGCTGGGCCCGCCCTTCGGCCTGGCCGAGCCGCAGCAGCCGCTGCTGCAGACGGCCAAGGAGCGCGGCGACGCGCCCCTCCTGCGCAAACCGGCCCCCGAGAGGCCCATCCAGTCCGACTTCCCCTACCCGCTCGTGCGCCCCGACGCGGGGGTGGTGGACGGCGCGGGGGTGGTGGACGGCGACGAGCGAGAGGCCTTCCCTCCGTCCAGAACGCCCGACGGAGGCGCCAGCGCCGGCGACAAGCTCGTAGACGATCCCGACATCAACATCATCCCGTATCTGCAAGATTACATGCCCTTCGCCACGAAAAAGCCGGCTCTTGCCGACAAAAGTAGCCCCGCGGGGGTTCACGCTACTAATTTGGAGCATGACAGCAAAGCTAGAATTGTGACCGCGGGATCGAGCGGAAATAAAATACAAACCTCGTCCATTCACCTTTCCCCTTCTTCAACGTACGGTTCGCACGACGGAGGCAGTTCTCAACCCAATTCCAACTACTTGATTTCCACCACTCCGAAAGTCAAAGACTACGCTCAAGGTTCCACGAAACGCCCCGGGTTGCAGCAAGGTCTCGTCGGAGCGGGAAATTCGGAATTCACAGTGTCCGCCATCATGCACACGCAACCCCAGTTTTCTCAAGGTCACGACAAAGGATCTTCTGTCATACCGCCGGCAGCAACCAGTCAAACACAACCAGCCCCCACACAGCATAGTAACCATCGACCCGCTGCTGCAAATCACAAAGCATCGTCCGTGGCTCCTGCCCTGAACTTTCAAGCTCCGTTTTTGGCCAGTGTCAACATGGGTTCGGCCCCAACCAACCAAGGATGGAGCGTCGTTGGAGCCAACACGGAGCAAAGAATGAAACCAGGAACAGTAGACAAAGCAGAATTAGATAGATCAGATGTAAATGCCGCCCATTTGACAAGTGAACCAGTTGAACATGAGCCATCCAATTTTGATTTTGAGAACTTCAAACCTCAACTATTTGGAGGCTTCCAGCCTATTTACTCGCTTCCAGAAGATTCAAAGTCCCAGAGGCAACAGCTTACCACAGAAAGACAAGAGAAGAAACTTGTATAATTAACTTCTGTAATGGAATCCATGTTTTGAAGGAAATATTTATGTATTTGATGATCACGCAACATTTTGGCAATTTGCAATGGACTTATCACTTTCATGAAAGAAAATATGAAGTGTTAGAATTAAGCTGAAAACACCCTGTAGAAAAAGAGTAGAAGTGTAATTAAGATTAAATATTTCCAGCAACATAGTACACCTTCTCTGGTCATGTAAGTTCTTGAAATTATTGAAAGACTATTATGAAGTATCACAAAATTAACTTTGTGAGTATTTCTGAAGAACTCAAGTGATCAATACCATGATATTGTATTCCATAAACCCACAAGAGTGTGAACTGTTTTGTGTTGAATAATGTGAGAAAGATTCTGAGTGTATGAAATTTTCCTTAGTGTTATAGACAGTGTCATTCTAAATATTAGGAAGATGTGTGAATATCATCTGGTGTTATTTATTTATAGTATTTATTAGAGAAATCTTTCATATGTCATGACATGCAGAAATGATTCACATAGGCCAATCATATTTGCCCTAAAACCAATGTTTTTCTAAGATGACCATCATTCCATGAGCAAATATAATAAGAATATTTAAAAATTCAGAGAGGTGAACCATTTATGCATATTCAAGATAAATTCAAGCTCATGAATGAATATTTATTGCTTTAAGAGATTCATTGTATAACATTGCATCATTCATTGTAGTTAAATATTAGGAATCACTTCACTACATTCATGACTAACTAGTCATTCCCTCGTCACCTGTGAGGTCATACCTGAGTACATCCATGTTACACATCCCATTAATAACATTTTCCTTTAAACTTTTCACCATTACCTATGATGACATATACATTGTATTTGTAGTTATTGAACACTCATGTACTTGATATGTACTTAAAAACTACCTGTATCCTGTATTTATTTATTTATTTGAAAAATAATACAAAATGCTATTGAATGAATTAAAAGTTACTTTTTGTATTTCCTTTTTTTATGTTACTTCTAACAGATAATCTTTTAAATTATGATGTTTTAAGAGAATACATGTTACAGTATAAAACTATGACACCTTTCTTAGAATCTTTAAATTCATTTAAGAAAGGGTATTTGAAAATAAAATATTTTTTTCACATTTCCAAAGTAACTGATGACGTGATAAAATAACAAAATAGGTGTATTGAACTTGATGAAACTTACCTGCTTTGGGAAGTACCCCATTCCACTTCTTAAAAAGATCGTTGTGTCAGTGATGCATTGAGAGAGAATCAGAAGTCCTTGCAACTGTAAACAATAGATGCACGAAAATATACAATAATGTATAATTACTGATAAAATTTGCTTGTGCATTTTAAGAAGATGGAATGATAATAAATGATTTGTTGAGAACGTATTTTTGTTACAATAAAAAGATCTTCAAGCCATAATTCATTCTAAATCACATCATAAAACAGAAAGTGCATTACAACAATTTTGATTTTAAAAAATTCTCCATTTATGAGAAACATATATTAAGACTAATTGCTATTAAAACAATAATTTCATTTCGGGATTATAACTTTTATGAAGTCACAGGTGAAGTTAGATGGAGGAATGCATTGAGATTTGTAGTTTTGGGAAGGATAATCTAGAAATACTCGAATTTGAAGAGCCAATTGATAATCATAAATCTAATTTGTGAGGTTTTTTAAATTTCATTCTTTCAAAGTTCTAATTGTGCAATTTTCAATTATTTTAAATTAAACACTACTTAATTTTAGAAAATTTACCATTTCTGAAAAATTGGATTCCTTTTTAACAAGGAACTGCCTTTGTTAGAGGAGCAAAATGACATTCACTCTCTTTGTACACATTATATATTTTTATGACAATGGTCAATTATGTTTTCGAGATATAAAGAAGAGAACTAATCAGATGTGGGTCTAAAAATTTAATTTGAAGGAAGACATTTTTTTAGGCTATATGGTTCAATGAAAAAATGTTTCAAAATTTTCTGTAAATGAAAATGTTTTTGTCGATAAGAGATCCAGTATAGGAGAATTCAATATATTCATTTCATTCATGAATTGTTCTTGATGCAATAACCTAATTACAAAATATGTTAAAATTTTGCTATTCTTCTTGCAAAATAATAAGTATTTACTTCGTAATCATAATCTGACCTTTCACTAAAACAGTCTCCACATTTTTTTTCCTACTAATATTGTTTGAATTATGCTACAGTACTTCTAGGGACTGGGTTTCAATACAAATGCATAGTTTTCTCCTGTAGTCACAAAGTATGCTCAAAAGGCGTGTGCACAAAATACCCAATTTCCAATTATATAAACATTATTTTATGATATTTTTCTCGCATATTTTCCCTCTTTTTACTTTCATGCTTTGCTTTGTAAAAAGAGAAAGTTTTTTGTTCGTATGCTGGGAAAAGACAATTTTTGGACAGAAAACCTTATTTCTGAGCCCCTTGTATCAAAAAAGTGGATAAATATGGTTTCTATAAGTACATAATGAATTACTTTCTCTAACATATTGTGAGGTCAGAATGTATGATTTATGGGTCCTTGATACCGAAAAATTGATTGATGACAGAACGTGACTGTTTCTCTGTTTGTCTTGCTGAGGTCAATGGCAGCGGCTTAATTGTTCTGACAGTATTCTTGAAAATTGATATTTCTCGATCGATCTGGACAAACTTGACGTGCTGTGAGTTTGAAACGAATATTTTGATAGTCAGGGTACTTTAAATGAAGTCTCAACATTTTCAAAATTTTTTCAAAAAATGGCCCAAACTTTTTATTAAAATTTGCTTTCAGATGGCGTGAATGACTCTTAAAAAAATGGCAATGGTCTTCATTGTCGAAATCCCTGTTCTTTTTTCAAATTGTGTAAGTTCAAATTTTTTCTGTGTTTTCCCTACAACTACAACATTGAAGATAGAGAATTGTTTACTTAATGATATCTGTACTTTAAATAATCATTAAATCTTGAAATAAGTTGCTGTACCATTTTTTGAAAATATGGTTAGTTTTTGCATAATTTTAGGTGAATTATAGGCAATTTTAATTTTTGTACAATTATTTTCTCAAATTGGCTCAAAGCTTTTTCTTTAAATTTTCTCTTCCATATCAAAAAATGTAATAAAAGTTATACGGTACCATTTTCGGCAAATTCAATGTATTTTTAAAAATTGCAAAACGTTAACATTGCCAAACTATAGTATTGAAGATACCAATTTTTGTATTAAATAAAATCTGTTCTAAAATGATCAGCTCTTTAAAAATGGTGAATTTGCCGGAAATGGGACAAGTACAACTTTTATTACCTTCCTTTGATATGGAAGAGAAAGTTTAAAGAAAAACTTGGAGCCAATTTGAGAAAATAATTGTACAAAAATTAAAATTATAATAAGACTTTAGATTTCAGATTTCTGAAAATTGTTAACTATTCTGCATATTTTACTTGATATATACTGTTACTCATATTTATTTACTTAATTTACCTTAATAATTTTAATTTCTAATTTGGTAATGAGTATTTCTATATACATAATTCATTGAATATATTATTTGTGCGATCAAGAAACAGACAATCATTATTGTTTCAAGAATTACATGCTGTGTAATCCATCTTGAACTCCCGTAAGTTACAGAACTTTCCCTACAAATCATACATACTTACTTTTTCAGTAAAATATGAAAAATTCCAATTAATGATAATGAATGTTCCAAACAAACAAAAATTTCTATTTTAGCCCCTGATTCCACTGATACCATTGTATCTTCAAACTTAGAGCCTCAACCTGAATACTTCAATATTAATAGCAGCAAACTAATAAGGTACAACATATTTTTGGTTTTAAAATAGAACCAGTATGCCAATATACAAATGCAGAGAAAGACACATAAAAGTGACTGGGCAGAATGAGAGTTTAGGACAAAATGATAGGAATGACAAAAATAGTTTGGTACAGAATACAGAATAGGTGTTTTGAAGATATAGAATGCCAATTACATTACTTCAAAAACATTTAATCGATGAGATCACCAACATGAGCACCCCTTTAATATTGTACATATTTTGCAATGCTCTTGTTTATACACATATCTGTCTACATCTACATTCATCCTAAATAACTACTATTGCACTGAACACAATAATACTAATGTCACGTACTTGTCAAAGAACTTTCCTCCTTTCTTTGGTTTCCTTCATATTAACAAATACATGGCTATCAAGGCAAGTAGAACCAATAAGATATTAATTATCAGCAAAGATCTATAGGCAGTTTCAGAAATTCAGTCAAGACACAAACACACAGATTTTGTATTCATCAATATTCACACTTCCTAATGAAGTTTGTAAAAATACAGAATTACATTGAATGTATCAATGCTTTCTTATCTACTATGAAAGCATTTGAGTTCAGAAACTGACTACAAATATAATTTAAAATTTGAAATAAAAGAAAATATGACAGAAAATAAGTTAATGCAAATTTTTAAATTTCAATACCTATCATGAGAACATTGGTAATAAAAAGATCCAAATTAGACTGAATTTTCTTCTCACAAAAATTGAAGAAAATATTAAATTATGATTTAAATTTTTAAACTAAAAATCATTAGTGAAAAAAGGTTTGATTTTAATTGAAAAGGAAAAATAAATTTTTTACTAGAGTAGAAGAAAATTATCTACCTATATCTATATTCACTAGCATATTAATATGCAATGAGACACAAGAACATTCACATCAACATCAAGTATTATATATCCCATTATACTGTAGTGCAGCAGCACATTTATAATATGTAACACACTCATAAATAAACGTCTTTATAATCACATTTACATTGGATATGTTTTCACACAGCCTACATTACATAATAAACCACAGAGTGAATCTGTGGATAGTGTATGGTAAACTCTCCCTGCAAACACATTTAAATACATTTTTTTACAGTTATTACTAGAAAACAGCAGAATATAATATATGCAATTATGGTCTCATGAATTCTGAAGTATGTTTTAAAATATTATATAAACAAACAAACAAATGTAGATAGGAGAAAAATCCGTTAAAAGATTGCTTGTTTACGTAATAAGGTAAAATAATTGCAGTAAAGGAATAACATGATCAAAACAATTTTATTCTGCTTGATGGAAATATAGTTAAACTCAGGTATAGCATAATTATTTTACTTTTGTTACAATTGTCAGTCATATGATTTTAGGAAGTTCATGTTTTAAAATGAATATAGTTACAGGAAATGAATGTGATATAATTAAATAATGAAATATTTACATAGTTATAATCAATACTTTGTCATATTGATAGGGAAATTAATCAATCTTTTTTGGGGAATGATTCAATTTAACTCATAAAAAAAATATTTTTCCAAAAGTTTTGATGTGGATAGAATAATTCTCATCAACACTTTAATCTCTGTGCAAATTAATCTGTTTGTTCTACTTTCCAGATTTTTGAAACTGTGTTTCAATAAATATTTTTACCAAATCTTTATAGAGAATAAGAGTTCCATGCATTGCTTTTAATTGCCATATCAAATTTTGAAAGATTATAATAATCAACAAAATTCTTGAAAGTTATTTGTTGTACTTGAAGCTAAAAGTGATATGAGCTCAATAATGTTTAAAGAGCTTCATCATTGCACAGACTATTCATGACAAACATGTTTTATAATAAATTAGTTATTTTTGTTTGACATTTGAAATGAAATGTTGTTATATTACTCTGACAAAATTACAGAAATGATGGGTGCAAGTTAAGATTGTTAAAAGTTAGAGAAATATTGAAGTTTGTGCAAATAATGAAATAAATCAAAAGTTTACCTGGTTTTGTAGGTCTCAGTTTACAACATTATATACAAAGAAATTGCTTGGGCAGATCTGTTAAGCACAGCATTATTGCGTCAAGCAAGACATGCAAAACTTCTATTCTACTATTGTACATAATTTGTCTACACTACTTTCTTGGACAAGAGTTACTGTGCGGGCGCTCACCTGAGAATTCAGTTCAAGTGAGACAGAAATAATGTTTGAAAATAGAGATAGAAATATAGTTGAGTGATTTTTATGAAATACATTCGTACACATAGAAAGGCAAACAGGAGACCTGTTCCTGGAGAAATGGTTCACAATTTTACTCATACGAATGTTTTGTGTGTTCACCATAAACAAGTGCTGGCCCAAACTTGTGGAGAAAGAGGACTTGCAAATTTTGTAATTGACATATTTTTAACACTGACCTATGATTATATATATGT